ATCTTCAAGGTAAAGTGGCTATCAAATGGCTCCTGCTGATACTTGTATAGCAGGCCACACGTCGTGGGGTCCTGTTTAATTTGCTTCTACATGATGCCATCATTCAGAAACAGAACACTTTCCCTTGAAACATAAGAGATTCGATATTTTTCATAATAAACTTGTTCATACATGCATACGTCCTGTTTTATCACTGGTGAAATCAATTACAAATTGGTAAATGTCTGCTACACTTTAAGATGATACATTTTCAAAGCAAATTTTTTTAAGGCCTGTCCTCACCTCATTCCTCTTCACATTACATTTTAAGTATTTAGAAGTAACTCTTAAGTTTGGAGATGTGTTTCAACTTAGCGCACACAGCTGAAGCGTCCAACTTAAGAACACAACGCATTTTGAAATTCTGTGCCCACAAGGTTACATTTATTCTTGCAGTATACAGCTTTATGAGTGTAAAACAATCTTCTAAATTCGAGCCTGATTTTAATCGACTGAAATCGACCGAAAACTGTGGGTGGACTGCGATAGATCGGACTCGATGAAACATTTTTTATTCCACTGTCAAAAACCAGTCCTCTCGAAATGTGAATGAAAGAAAGAAATTCTATAATCTCATGATATAAAAGCCAGTAATCGAGACAATTGACTGAAAGAGCGCGCTTTCGTGCAAACGAGGCTATGGTGGGGTCTGGAGTAGTCTGCTGTATCTACGATCTGTATCTGTATTTACGATATCAGTGAAAAGGCCTCTCAGAGGCCTCCGTGCCAAAGCACTTGTATCACGAGACAGTGAATGTCACGTAATTAATCAAAGAATAGAATCCCTAAACTAGTTTAATTTAATTACTTAATGTTGTAAACTTACCTCTTATCATATGCTAGGTCAGAAATAAACATTCTGCTGGTGGTTATCTTGATGACGTTGCTACGAACACAGTCAAAATTGTCTTTTGCTTTATTCGATGTCTGATAGAGCCAGTACCAGTGACCTGTCAACTGAGTCATAACGCATAAAACATCGACGGGCCTCAAATATCACATGTGTTCTTAGATTTACGATTCTGTATTAATTACTCTCGGTTTCATGGACACACTACGAAAGTGAATTTCTGTATGGAGACAGATCTTGAAGAAATGCAGAATGCAGTATCTTAGTAAGTTAAAATTACAAAGGCGGCTGCGATGCGAAACTTTGATATTTTGTGTAACAAATCAGGTAAACTGAACAAGCATTATTCTCCCTACATTCAAGTAAAAATATACTGTCGGATGAACGTAGACTTCTCAGGACACGCTCCTAGCAACCTAGAACCTCAAATCTTGCATCGTAAAATTCAGTTTCAACGGCTCACGTCTAACAAATACAAATTCGGTTATAAGGAGATCCAAGAGACTCAGGAAAAGTGCTCGTTATAACCGTTACTCGTTATAAGCATTATTGTAACTTTTGCTGTTACTCACTTCATTGGTTAGTTTGTTGGGCAGTTTTTCTACCTATATTTTCTGATAATCTATAATATAAGAGAAGAAAGGATTAAGAGACTTGGGGAAAAAACAAGAATCTCAATATCACGTGCACCCGCATCGTAGGACATTCTCTGTTCAAACGACGAAACGGTGCAGAGGAATCATTCTGCCTTACCCCCAATGTTTAACTATTTGATGACTATACATTTGCCCTGATACCTGAGAGCCCCCTTAGGCCCACGGCACCCTCGTCACGCTGGGTCTGCGGGGATTTCCGCCACACCACTGGAACTAGGAATTTGTTCTTCCTGAGTACCTTACCACACTAAGTGAGATCTGAGAAAGGAAATCGAAACAAACACGCCCTGAATGTAGACTGTAAATATCGTAGAAGGGTTAGAGACAATGCTTTAACAAGGTGAGTGTGAGTATGCCATTGCGATGGAGTAACATTTCAATGACAAACTCCATTTAAGTAGACTGTATACAATGACAATTTGGTAACTTTTTTCAGTTTTATATTTTATATATGTAGCTTATATAGCTTTTTATATTTTAGCTTATTCTTTGATGACAACTCACTGCTTTATTTCTTATTAATGTTTTCAAGGAAAAAGAAAATTGTAATTTTAAAATGGACATTTGCTATTTGTGTGTCTACAAGGCAGATTTTTCTGCTGTTAACATGAGAGATGCACTAAGACAGCCCTTGAGGTATGTGTGCCATTTGTTGCAAATGCCGTACACAGATTTTTGGGCATTATAGACAAAGAGTTTCTTTTGTGCACACTTTCTTTCTGTGGGAACATATTTAGAATAATTAATTGTTTTAGTTTGTTCTTATGTAATGTGTGTATCTATTAGTGTTTGTCATAAGGTCTTTGCTGTTGGCAGACATTTCAGTAAAGGAATTGAATACAATTTTATGACTCTTACTAATATTATAACATGTTTATATAATATGTACTGTACAAATTTTGTGGGTCAGTTTTAAATAATTTATCAATTATTGCTAACTACATAGAGCAGAGTCTTTCCTAAGATTAAATTGCTTAGCCTTATATTTAACCTAAAGATTCATTATCATTCATTCATCATTGCCACTGGTTTATTTTCTGAGCCACATGAATCCAGCCTACACCCACCCACTATATTTACTTAAAATCTATTTTAATATTATCCTCCTATGTCTAGGTCTTCTGAGTGATCTCTTCCCTTCAGACTTTGAAACCATAATTTTGTTCTTCATGCAGTTGTAGTGTTATTTCTCATCTTCATGAAAGATAGCTCAATAAAAGTTGTATTTGTATCACACGTGATCCAGTATTGAATGGTTGTTTACAGGTCACAGTTGCCATGTTAGTAGTATT